GGGAAAGAGAGACTACAACTGGAATGTGAAGAATCTGATTTGCAGCTGATCACAGGTTGGGTTTCCAGAAGGACAGACAGCTCAGTGTAGTGCCATCGAAGGGTCTCAGATGCCCTATACTCCACCCCCCGAGCTCTGCAGAAGGGAAGGACCCTGGAGTCACACTTCTCCCCACACCCATAAAGCACTCAGCCTACAGATTATTTCAAGTGATCAGGAGAATTAAAACACACCCCAACCCTGAGTTGCTCCATAGCAAGTCTATTTACAATTTTTTTCTCACCCCTTCAGAGGCAAATCTGGGTTTCAAGTTGGGAAATCATGGGGTGAAGGGTTCCCCCAGTGCAATGGCCAATGACTAGTCTCCATGTCTTTGCCAGTTAAGAGGGCTGTGATGAATTATTGGAGACAGCAGCCTCACATTCATTGGATGGGGTAGCCCTAGGCTCTCACTTTGCTGGCCTACGTTGTGAAGATGATGGGCTCTGCAGCTGGAGCAAATTCCCATGATAGAGAAAACCACACCTGGAATATCAAAGCGCTTTGGTCCAGGTTTAGTGACCAAAGAAGAGGGGAAAGAGGGGCTTCAAACTCATTTAAAAACCTGGAGGCCACTACCCTGCTTCCCAGACAGGGCAGTTAAGAAACAATTAAGTTTTTCCCACTGAGGGAAAACATCAAAAACCAAACCCACACAGGGGCTTTTAACACAGCTTCCTGATGCTTAGTCAGGCGTGTCTCTTCCTTCCAGGAGGGGACGAGGGAGGTAACAGGACTGGGCAACAGCCTCAACATGAGACCACCCAATCTCTCACCGAAGAGACAACATTCCCACAAGCAGATAAAAAGAGCAGTTTAAAAGGTGAGAAGTTTTAGTTCTCTTGTTGCCAGCCCACCTTAAACCTATATTACAAGCTTTTTACAACATACAAAATAGACCAATAACTATGAGGGTCACATTCCAATCTTCAATAGTAAATATACATGATAAGAAATCCGTTATTAACAGTGGGACCAAATAATGTATAAGGCAAAGACATTTAAATGGGTGCTGTGTCATTAATTGGCTCTGAAAAAAACTCATCCGATTGGATCTAGACCCAGGCCAAGACCATGAACACAGAATCAATACCCATGTGACACAGTCTGAATGCTGGGAAATATGAGGGATAGCAGGTCGCAGGGAAGACGGTAACAGCCCCAACAAAGAGCTGGGGTTTGGCTTTACTTGTGATACTTATTTTGATTCTTTATGTTTGAGTAAAGGGGAAAGAAAACAAAAAGACACACTTTGATAACATTGTACAAAAGGCATCAATTCCCATTTCAAAAATAAATGGGACGACTTCACAGTCAAAGTTCAGTGACTTGTCAGTTATCTACCCTGGAGGTCTGCTGCAGTATCAACTCTGGTACTCTTTTTCGCTCCACTGGTGTCCCCTCTCTCCTAGTTCTATTCACTTTAGGATGCTGGGGATACATCTTGGAAATAACTGCTAACAGATTTGAAAAGAATGATAAATAAAAAATTATTAGAAAAAGTTTAGTAACAGACCTAATTAATCATGATTTGTCCCAAAAACCAATGTAGTCCAAGAGAGGGCAAAGGAAAACAGATCCCATACACATAATCCAGGTTGAACCATCCCTCACTTAGCTTCGGGAAGACCTGGGTTTTACCTGGCACCACACACAGATCCTTGGCCTGTGATCCATAAATCAAGACAAGTCCCTAAAATGGTTTAAGCCTGTGATGTGCCTGTGAAAAACTAATTTCCCTTATGCATTTCAAGGAACAGCTATGGTCTCCCTGCTCTCATTCCAAGGTTAACAGCAGCCTTTACATGTGACAACAGCTGCAGCAAACTAAACCATTCGGTGTGTTGAGCACAGGAGTCTCGGGGGAAGCCCATGTGCCATCGTCCAGGCTTGGCTCCCACTTAGACTAAGAGCCTCCATTCTTTTCTGTGCTCTTTAAACTAGGACCTGGAAGACGAAGAAATGATGTGTTGACTGAGGTTCACCTCACCGAAGTCTTTGTGCTTCTTGGCATAGATAAACCTTTGCATATCCCCGTAAGCTTCTACTCACTTCCCCACTCTTCTCTATTCTGGTGCATTAACCCTCGACATCTTGGGAAAGGAACAGAAAAGAGCCTGCTCAGATGGGCTGTGAACTTCAGGATGATCAAGTCTTAAAGAACTTGGTAGCCCCACAAAGCCTGTCCCTCCCATGAAGTGCTTCCCCCTTCCTTTCTTTGTCCTCCAGGGACTGAAGGACTGAAAAGAGTCACTGACCTTCAGGGCCAATCAGAAAAAACTGAGCCCAACTCCAGGTTGAGGTTAAGGCCCGAGCCTAGGCCCTATCTTTCTATCTCTCACCCGCAATTTTTAGAATATGTGAATTAGGAATGAATCATGCCCCTCCCCAACAAAAAGTGAATTTTCTCTGGAGGGGATGGGCAGTTGGGGAGAAGAAAAAAAAAATCTCTCAGCCTAGCACCCTGAGGAAATGGGGTAGGAAGTTGCAGAGGACTCAAAGTCCCTTTGCTACAGAGGAACTGACAGGCTCTAAAATGATTCTGGGTTTATCTCACCCTCTCTTTTTATTAAATGTTTAGTTCAGCTGATTAGTATTTAGTGTTTATAGCCAACTTATTCCTGGGGTGGGGGTGGGGGTAGGGGCAAGGTGAGAAGAAACCCAAAATACCCCTAAAAATAAACAAGACCCATTACCTTGTCCTTTTCCCAAACGTGACCTTTAAAACAGATCACTTCTCCGCAAACTCCTTTCCTGCTTCATTACAAATAGCCCCTCCCCCCAAGAAGTCCTGGCCTTGCTGGCCTCCTAAATGATGAAATATACCTGTCAAGCTTCCCCCACAGTGGGTAGGAGGAGGTAGGAGTACCAGTCTCCACCCTGCCCCAACAGTAAGTTAATTCATCACAAGGCACCTTTCCCCAAGAGGAAAGCAGGAGACACGAAAGCTTTCTCCTCATCTGGCTAGCCGGGCTTGTGAGAGGAAGGATGGAGGCAGGGCTTAAGACCCTACTGTCAATATAAAGAGTCCGATCACCAAATCCAGAGACGAGGTGCATAGATGGAGGTGAGCGGGGAGGACACGTGGAGTCTGGGGTTGGCTGCACTGGAGAAACACATCAGGAGCTCTCATGCAGGTTTCAGGGGAATGGAAGGGACCATCTGAGGAGGAGAGAGGTCCATCCTTTTCCTGAGGAACAGGACCAAGCCAGGTTTCACCTGAGAATAGGTGGCAGAGGTGGGGCTCCACGGGCAGCTGAAAAACACAAAATAACAACCACATACGTATTGATTACCCACTATATCCTAAATTACCAGACATTCCTGAAATGAGAAACAGGCTCGTTAAGCTAACCTTTAAAATTTGGAGACTAGGTTTGTTGTTACTGGGTTTTTATTTTTAGACATTTTTGCTACAGGGTATACTCACTCACCAGAGAGACAGAGAAAGATAGATAGAAAGTGAGACATCACCCCTCACGGGGGATGGCCACACTTTAATCCTTTCCCCTCCATTCTCCTCTCAGGATTTTGAGCACACATGCACACCTACCTGGCATGAGTTTCAAGTGGCCAAGTTTAGGACTCGAACAATGGTTGGTCGAGTAGGAGTCCAGTGCCTAACCACTCAGCCACTTGCTGGCCTCTGTCATTGTATTTTTAAGGAAGTGAAAATGATGGGGCAGGCAGGTGGCATGATGGTTAAGCATACTGGACTCCCACATGACTGACCGCAGTTCAAGTCATGGACCTGGCCGCTTGACCTGGCCACTTGCTTTCTCACTTTCTCTCTGGTCAAATTTAAATAAATAAGGGACCAGCAGGTGGTGTTGTGGTTAAGGTGCTAGACACTCCCACATGGCCGACCACGGTTTGAGTCCTGGACCTGGCAGCTTCCTTTCTCTCTTTCTCTCTCTCTGTGTCTCTCTCTGGTCAAATTAAAGTAAATGAATGAATAAATAAATTTTTTAAAAAATTTAAATAAATAAAACAATTTTTTTTTTAAGAATTATTTAACATGGGGCTGGCAAGTGGTGAGGTGGTTAAAGGTGCTGAATTCCCACATGGCTAATTGTGGTTCAAGTCCTGGACCTGCTGACTTGCTTTCTCACTTTCCCTTTCTCTCCCTTTCTCTGTCTGAATTAAAGAAGAATAACAAAAGAAATTAAATAAATAAATAATTCTTTTAAAGAAGAGAATTATTTAACTTTGTTTACTTATTTTAATTTGACCAGAGAGAGACAGAATGAGAGATAGAGAAAGTGAGAGAACAAGCAGCCAGGTCCAGGACTTAAACCACGGTCAGCCATGTAGGAGTCTAGCACCCCTAATCACAATGCCACTTGCCAGCCCTGAAATAATTCTTTAAAAAATAAATAGGGGGAACCAGCAGTTAGCGTAATGGCTATGTCGCTGGACTCTCACGTAGTCAACCGCGGTTTGGATCCCGGACCTGGTGGCTTAAAACTCACGCCGGGCGCGTGTGTGTGCGTGCCCAAGATCCCGAGAGGAGAATGGAGGAGAAGGGATTGTGGCGTGGCCATCCCCCCTGGGGGGTGATTTCTCGCTTTCTATCTCTCTGTTTCTGTCTGGCAAGCGCACGTGCCCTGTAGCAAAAAACTCTCCAATAAACAAACAAACGAACAAATAAATAAATGTGAAAATGAGGGACCAACAGATGATGTAATGGTCATGTCGCTGTACTCCCACGTAGCTGGCAGTGGTTTGAGTCCCGGACCTGGTTGCTTAAAACTCATGCCGGAGGACCAGTGGGTGGGGTGGTGGTTAAGGCACTGGACATTTCAATATGGCAAACCATGGTTTGAGTCCCAGACCTGGTAATTTGCTTTCTCACTTTCCCTCTCTGCCTCTCTCTGGTCAAATTAAAATAAATGAATGAATAAAGATTAAGTAATTCTTTTCTTTTTTTTTTAGAATTATTTTTTGTTTAACTTTATTATTATTTTCCAGTTTGATCAGAGAGACACAGAGAAAGAGAAAGAGAGGGAAACTGAGAAAGGAAGCCACCAAGTCCAGGACTCAAATTACAGTTGGCCATATGGGAGTCCATGGCTTTTAACCACCATGCCACCTGCAGTGTGGCCATCCCTCCTGGGGGTGGGGGACTGATTTCTCACTTTCTGTCTCTGTCTCTCTGGCAAGTGCACACACCCTATAGAAAAAATCTCTAATAGAAAAAAAAATAAAAGTAAAGAAGAGAGGAGAAAAGAGAAAGGAAAATAAGCAGAAGGAAATTTTAACTTAAGAAAGAAAACACAAATCAGGCCCAGCCACAATGGCACAGGGAGTAGAGGTACTGGTGTACAACACTGGAGACCAGATGAGAAGGCTATGAGTCAAGTACCAGATCCAGCTAAACAGGCCTGTGATCCTGGCTGCCTACCGGGCTAGCAGGAGGATTGCAGCATGAAGATCCTTTTGGAGGTGCCTGTCTGCCCTCACTCACCTACCAAAAGATAAATAAAACTAAAATAGGGCTTTTAAAGGAAAAAAAAGAAAAGAAAGGAAGAGAGAAAACATAAAGGCTCCATTCAAAGCAAATATGGAAAATTTTTCTTTACACTTCTCACCTCGGTTTGTTTTGCTGGGATATATTCTCTGAAAGTGTTTATATTCTTCTGGAGCAGGAAAGTCTTCCACCGGATGAAAGGAATACTTTGACTCAAAATCATCTGTGAAAACAAAAGAATCTTAATTTGTACCATCCATCTTTGTGCTTCCACAGACCATTCAAGACCCTCCCCTTACTAGTCTCTGGTGAATTCTGACGCACTCTGAGGGCGTGCCTGCCTAAACCAAGAGACTGCAAACAGCAACAGCATCACCCTGGGAACCTTTCTTTCATCACCAGAGGGTATGCTCAAAGGCTCTTTATATTAAGCAGTCTTTGTTGTTTTATTTTGTTTTGTTTTTGTAGGGATTTTTGCCTTAGGGCAAGATGGCCACAGGCAATCCCTTCTCCTCCATTCTCCCCCCAGGATCTTGGGCACCCGTGCCTGACCCCGCCCCGGCGCCCCCCTGCCCGCCCCCCCCCCCCACACCATGCCTGGCATGAGTTTCAAGCCTCTGGGTCTGGGACTTGATCCACAGTTAACCATGTGGGAGTCCAGTGACTTAACTGCTACATCACCTGCTGGCCCCAAGCAGTCAGTCTTTGGACTAGTCTTTAAACCTTTCCACCAAAAATCAGACACCTGAAAATAGATAAGGAGCCCAACTGTTTGCACAGAAGCAAAAAGAAATATAGTTCTGTGTTTCAGTAACACAGTCATATTAAAGGCTATTGCCAGGGGAAAAGTAACTGAACCAAATTCACAAACTGGTAGAAATTAACCTAACATGGAAATATTTATCTCCAGATAGAGATGTCAGCCCGGGTTACCCTTACTTTGTTCTGCAGCACAGTTGGGATAGCCACCTCACGGTCCCCAGTTTTCTATGCCCCTCCACAAGAAGGCTCAACTTCTCGGGACCAGCAGTTAGCGTAATGGCTATGTCACTGGACTCCCACATAGTCAGCCGTGGTTCGAGTCCCGGACCTGGTGGCTTAAACTCATGCTGGGTGCGTGTGCATGTGTGTCCAAGATCCCGAGAGAAGAATGGAGGAGAAGGGACTGTAGTGTGGCCATCCCCCCTGGGGGGTGATTTCTCGCTTTCTGTCTCTATGTCTCTCTCTGTCTGGCAAGCGCACGCGCCCTACAACAAAAACCTCTCCAAAAAAAAAAAAAGAAAAAAAAAGAAGGCTCAATTTCTCAATAAGCATGGTTTAATCATATTCCAAAGGTATCTACAATGAGGACATTATCATTAAAATGAAAACCTTGGTCCACCTAACAGAAACTTACTAACATGTGAGGAACAAGAGGTTGAGAAGTGGAGCAATCATTAAAGAATCCAGTGTTAGGGCTGCGAAGGACTTTACGAGATCTACTCCCAATGTCCTCAACAGGTATAACAACATCTTCTGGACAACCTTTATTTAGGGCTCTATCTCCAACCCAATGAACAAGAATCCTGAAGGTGAGGGCCCCAACATTTATAATGATGGAAAAGTTAATACGACACACCCCTGATCGAATTAACCTCCTCACTGGTCCCAAAAAGTGAAGTGACTTCTTCAAAATAATGCAGCTAGTTAATGGCTTGTGATTACTAAATAAATATTGTGTAGTGTTTTATTTAATTTTTAAAGAGCCAGAAAAGAATTCTCCTAAAAGATACTTAATTCTTTTTTTTTATTTTTTTGGAGAGGTTTTTGCTATAGGGTGCGTGCGCTTGACAGACAGAGACAGACAGAGAGACAGAGACAGAAAGCGAGAAATCACCCCCTAGGGGGGATGGCCACACCGCAATCCCCTCTCCTCCATTCTCCTCTCTGGATCCTGGGCACACACGCACACACGCCCAGCATGAGTTTTAAGCCACTGGGTCCAGGACGTGAACCGCGGTCGACTATGTGGGAGTCCAGCAACATAGCCATTACGCTAACTGCCGGTCCCAAAGACACTTAATTCTTGACTAAAGAAGATACAGAGTCTCTGACCTAAAAGCTAACTACAAATAACAATCCTTAAGGTATGAGAATGGCTTTGGGGTTACCACAGCACTTATGCTTTCAGTTACTCTATTCCAAAGCAACTATTCCTAGAGCTCACATAAGCAAAGGGATGTCAATGGGCAGGGCCTAGAAGTCTGAGGGGTGAGTCAGGAACGAACTGCTGCGAACACAGGATACCATGGGCTATTTCCACCCTGTGTGGGTCATCTGGCAGCCAAGGCACTAGAGTTAGTGAAATCATCACAGGCACTATGACTCTAAAACAGCTAGTTACTCACCCAAGAAAGATCGGACAGTGGTGATAGAATCTCTGTGGCCATTTCTCAGAGGTGGTGGAGGAGGAGGGGGTGGTCCAGCTGGCGTCCTTGAGGGTGGAGGTGGGGGCTTTCCCCGGCTCAGAGGTTCTGACCCATGCATTCGGTAGGGTGGTGGGGGAGGAGGAGCATCCCTGGCACCATTTCGGATCATGGGGGGTGGAGGTGGAGGAGCTGCAATTAAAATTCAAAGCAGTTAGGCTCTGGTGAGGAGCAGGCGAGGAGAACAGGGATTTGTGACAAGGAGGGGAGGGACTTGAGGGACATGGCCTACGAGTCCCTAGGCACTTCTCCGAAGAACCAGGCTTTGTGAGCCCCTGGGACCATGTTAAGTATCATATTCATCTTCCCCCTCTCATCCTTATTTCTTGAACAGCACCAGGATTCCCTCAGACACCAATGTTCAGAATTCGTTTAGGACCTTTGTTCATTTCCCACAAGACAAGTCAAGAATCCTATGTTCTCAGTGATTTTTTTCCCCTGCTTTTTCACATCTTCCTCCACAATCCTAATTCAGGTCTTTCTCAGACTTAGCTAATTGTTCTACTAGAAAAGTCTTCCAGATGTTCTCCTTGGTTCCAATCTCTTACCCCTAATCCATTTGGCATACCTACTGATCTCCCGAAAATACTTGCTCAGTTTTTTTTCAAGAGCTTTGCATTTCCTATTTCACAAGTCCAAATCCTTTGCTTACATAGTAACCTACTATGCCAGTCGGCCGATCTCACCTTCTCCTCTTCCTTTTTTTTTTTTTGCTATAGGGCGCGTGTGCTTGCCAGAGAGACAGAGAGATAAAAAGCAAGAAATCACCGCCCAGGGGGGGATGGCCACACCTCAATCCCTTCTCCTCCATTCTCCTCTCGGGATCTTGGACACGCACGCACATGCGCCTGGTGTGAGTTTAAGCCACCGGGTCCAGGACTCAAACCACGGTTGGCTACATGGGAGTATAGCGACATAGCCATTACGCTAACTGCTGGTCCCCTCCTCTTCCTTTCTTAATTCCTAGACTGGGGCCCCTCTTCTGCACGTCCACTGTAGCTGCACATATCTCTATGACTTTACTGCACCGTGTTATAATTACCCATCATGTGCACCTCTTCCTCAGTATACTGTGTACTCGATGTCGAACGTTTCTTCATGTAGGTTCCCAAGCTCAGCCAAAAGTATAGCAGACAGTAGGTACTCAGTGTTTGCTAACTAAACCAAACTAAGTATGTTGTGTTCTTGTGACTCCTCTCCTGACAGTCTGAAGTTCCACATCCCTCACTGCCAAATCCTGTAAGGTTCAATCTTCAAGCCTTTCCCAAAGCAACACACTCTATCCTAAGCCCCTCCTCCCTTGTTCTGCTACAGTATATACAGGCCATGCCACTTACTCTAGCATTTAGGGGTACAGACTTAAGTATGTATAATAGATTCACCTTGAGAAGTTATGAAACTGCAGTGATAGTCTCATTACTCAAAAAAAAGTTAGAGACCTCTTTTGGAACTGTCTTCAAAGCCAGTTATCAGATAAAGTAAAAAATATCATTACATGATGGTCACATTTTTTTTGAGAGAGAGATTGAGACAGAAAGCAAGAAATCACCTTCCCCCCGGGGCAAATGGCCACGCCACAATCACTTCTCCATTCTCCTCTTGGGATTTTGGGTACACACGTACATGCACCCGGTGTATGTTTGTTTTTTTTTTAACTTTATTCAACTTTATTATTTTTATTATTATTTTCCAGTTTGATCAGAGAGAGAGAGAGAGAAAGTGAGAAAGCGAGCCACCAGATCTAAAACTTGAACTGCAGTCAGCTGCGTGGGATTCCAGCACCCTTAACCAACACACCACCTGCCAGTCCCCCAAGCGTAGTTTTAAGCTGCCGGTCCTTCATTTCTGAGGTCAACCCACCACCACCACCACCACCACCACCAATTCATACCTAAGACTAACTCTAGATTTTCTTTAGATTTTCTTTTTTTTTTTTTTTTTTACTTTCAAAATCATCTTTACTCTTAAAAGACAAAAATCTGGCCCACCAAAGTGGCACCAGCAGTAGAGCACCCACCAGTGCACAATACTGGAGTCATGTGAGAGGCTCAGGTTTGGATCCTGGTTCACCCTAAACATGCTAGGCATGCCAGCTCATGACAGTGACCATGACTGGCTGAAGGCTGGGGGGAAGGATTATGGCATGAAGAGATCCTACCAAGGCTACCTGTCTTTTCTCTTTCACATGAAAGAAATAAGTAAAATAAAATTTAAAAAGAAATTGCCCGGGCTGGCAAGTGAGGTGGTGGTTAAAGTTGCTGGATTCCCGCATGGCCGACTGTGGTTTGAGTCCCGGACCTGCCGGCTTTCTCACTTTCCCTCTCTGTCTCTCTTTCTCTGGTCAAATGTTTTTTAAAAATGGTGATGGGGGCCAGCAGATGGCATAGTGGTTAAGGGCTCTGTACTCCCACATGGCTGACCACAGATCAAATCCTGGACCTGGCAGCTTGCTTTTTCACTTTCTCTTTCTCTCTCTCTCTCCGTTCTTCTCTGGTCAATTTAAAATAAATAAATAAAGTTAAATAATTCTTAAAAAAAAAAAAATGGTGATAAATGGGGCCAGCAGGTGGCGTGGTAGTTAAAGTGCTGGGCACTCCCACATGGCCAATAACAATTAGAATCTCGGACCTGGTGGCTTGCTTTCTCACTTTCCCTCTTTCTCTCTCTGTGTCTCTCTCTGATAAAATTAAAATAAATGAATTAATAAATAAAATTTAAAAATAAATAACTTTTTAAAAATGGTGATAAATAAAGTTAAATAATTCTATTAAAAAAAGAAAAAAATTACCAACAAGTCTAAGTTAACATCAAAAACATGTCTGCAAAAATGGCAACATCCCTGGCATAGGTTCTAGTGTGTTTAAGATGCAGGCCAGCAGGGGCGTGGACGTTTAGATGGCTGGATCTTACATAGCTGACTTCATAGCGGCTTGAAATCACACAGGGCAAGTGTCCATGCATGTCCAAAATTCCAAGAGGAGAATGGAGAAGGGATTATGGCATGGCCATTCCCCCTCTATCTATCTCTGTCTCTCTCCAGTGAGTACATGCACTCTACCACAAAAGAAATCTAAAAAAATGATGCATTACTCCTATGCTTGTATTAGCTAACAGTAATAGCAGTTTGGGTCCCTTTTATGCTCCAGGCATTTTACATACAATAAATATTTAAAAATTGTTACAGCCCTGCAAAGTATGTAGCATTATCTACATTTCACAAATGGAACTCAGGCTATTTCTTTTAGCCTTTTTTTTTTTTTTTTTTTTTGAGAGGTTTTCGCTATAGGACACGTGCGCTCGCCAGACAGAGAGAGAGAGAGACATAGAGACAGAAAGCGAGAAATCACCCCCCAGAGGGGATGGTCATGCCGCAATCCCTTCTCCTCCATTCTCCTCTCGGGATCTTGGGCACGCACGCACACGCGCCTGGCGTGAGTTTTAAGCCACCGGGTCCGGGACACAAACCGCGGTTGACTACGTGGGAGTCCAGCGACAAAGTCATTACGTTAACTGCTGGTTCCCCTCAGGCTATTTCTTGAAGTCATAGATCTAATAAAAAGATAGCACATGGGGCCAGTGAGTGATGTAGTAGTTACGGTCCTGGACTCCCACATGGCTGACCATGATTTGAGTCCCAGACCCAGTAGCTTGAGACTCACGTGTCTAAAATCCCAAGAGGAAAATGGAGGAAAAGGGATTGCAGCATTGCCATCCCCCTAAAGGGTGATTTCTCACTTTCTGTCTTTCTAGTGAAGGCATGCATCCTATAGCAAAAAAATCTCTCTCTCTAAAAAAAGACTCAGCACAGGTCGAACAGATGGTGTAATGATTATGTCACTGGACTCCCACATAGTTCATTGCAATTTGAATCCCGGACCCGGCCGCATGTGCACCCAGGATCCTGAGAGGAGAATGGAGGAGAAGGAATTGCTACATCGCCACTCTCCTGAGGGTGAAGTCTCACTTTCTATCTCTCTGTCTCTGTCTCTCTAGTGAGTGCATGTGCCGTATAGCAAAAATCTCTCAAAAATCTCTCAAAAATCTCTTATGGGACCAACAGATGGCATAATGGTTACGTTACTGGACTCCCACGTAGTCGAATGTGGTTAGAGTTCTGGGCCCAGTGGCTTAAATATCACACCAGGGGGGCTGGCAGGTGGTGTGGTTAATGGCACTGGATTCCCATTTGGCCAACCATGGTCTGAGTCCTGGACCTAGCAGCTTGCTTTCTCACTTTCCCTCTCTCTCTCACTCTGTCCCTCTCAGGTCAAATTAAAAATAAGTAAGTGAAGTTAAAAAATTCTTAAAAAAAAAACAAACCTCACACCAGGTGCATGGGTATGTGTGCCCCAAATCCCAAATCCCAATAGGAGAATGGAGAAGAGACCCTGGGGGGTGATTTCTCACTTTCTGACTCTTTGGTAAGTGCATGCACTCTATAGCAAAAAGCTTCTCTCTCTAAATAAACAACAAAAACCTCTCTCTAAAAAAAACAAGGACTCAGCACATGTATTTCCACTACCCCCTTACTGCTTATCATAGCTACCTCATTCATTATTTATTATATATTTTACTTCCCCACCTAGATTTATAACCTAATGAGTTCGACGTGTGAGTTTTGGACCAAGGCCATGTTCAATAAATAGTTCTTACCCAAAGAGTACATGGAAGACTGCTCAGCTTTAACAGACAACACTATTTTTAAAATAAAAGCATACATTCGGTATTTTACTCCTCCCATTTTACTGTCAGAATTTCTACAAAATTGGGACCAGCAGTTGGCGTAATGGCTATGTCGCTGGACTCCGATGTAGTCGACCGTGGTTCAAGTCCCAGATCCAGTGGCTTAAATTCACTCCAGGCATGTATGTGTGCGTGCCCAAGATCCCAAGAGGAGAATGGAGGAGAAGGGATTGCAGCGTGCCCATCCCCCCAGGGGGTGATTTCTTGCTTTCTGTCTGTCTGTCTCTCGTCTTTCTGGCAGGCACACATGCCCTATAACAAAAACCTCTCCACCCCCAAGAAAAAAAAAATCTCAATTTAGAGGACATAGAAAAATTGCCAGGCTGGACTTTTCCTTTGGGCCATAATTTGCCTAACCCTGGTCTAGAGACATATTAAACCAAACTGGAACCAATCTAAGACAAAAATTGGGGAAGAATGCACTATGTAGTACTCAAGTCTCAGACCTGGCAGCTTGAAAAATATGCCGGGTGTATGTGCATGTGTGCCCCAAATATCAACAGGATGGAGAACTGGAGAAGGGACCGCAGCATGACCACACCCCATTGCCAAGTACCTTCTCCCTCTTTCTGCAGTGACTGCATGTGTCCTCTGGTCATTAAAGAAAAAAAAATGGGGACCAGCAGATGGCATGATGGTTGAATTACTGGAGTTCGTGGGCAGCCATGGTTTGAGTCCCAGACCTGGTGGCTTGAGGCTCATGCTGGGTGCATGTGCGTTTGAGTCCAGGATCCCCAGAGGAGAGTGGAGGAGAGAGGACTGTGGAGTGACCATCTCCCCATGGGGGTGACTTCTCACTTTCTATCTGTCTCTGGTGAACACACATGCTTTATAGCAAAACTCTCTCAAAAAAAAAGAAAAATAAAATCCCTTAAAATTTGAGTTTCTGGGATCGGCAAGTGGCATGGAGGTTAAGGTGCTGGAGTCAGTGCTGGCCAACTCCACGGTTCAATCCTTGGACCTGGCAACTTGGCAATTATACCAGGCATGTATGTGTGTGTGCCCAAAATCCTAAGAAGAGACTGGAGAAGGGATTGTGGCATAACCATCTCGCCTGGGGGTGAGTTCTCACTTTCTCTTTCTCTGGTGAGAGCACATGCCCTTTAGCAAAAACTAAAATATAAATATATAATCTCTCTCTTATTACCCTACCTCTATTCAGAACAACTTAGTCTCTTTTTTTATATTTCTCTAAAGCATATTAGATATTATGTACTTTTATATTTTACTAATTTATCTGTTTATCTAGATAGAATTTTGTTTTTTTGCCTTTCTTCTTATTGCTGTTTCC